GGACATTACTTTCATCCAAGGCAATGGCCGATGCAGCACCTCAGCAGGAAACATTAGGACCTAAATAAATTATCTTAATGACCAAAGCACAGCTTGTCTGAAAGCAAATCTGTCCCTTTCAGCTCCCCGCACTGGGCTCTCAGAGTGGTGTCCTGGTAGTTCAGGAACATTTGCCACCTGGAGAGGCTTCAAGATCCCCAGTTCAAGCCGCCAGGTTCCTGATCTAATCACTTAAAGATGCTCCCTGGGCTGTGCAAGCATTATACTGCATCTTAGGGGATTGGTTAAAGGCAGGCAACATTCTGCTGCACAACTGAAACAAAAAAAACATTATTAATAATTGTTTACAAGATATTGTCAGGATGATGAGTCATTTAGCCAAAGGAAGATCTGGCTGGCTTCACCAAGGTCCTGCCTGTGTCTGAGAAGGAGAAGAGCAGAAAGAATATTCTACTGGTCAAAGTCTCGAAAAGGTCAGGATTAGGAAATGAAGGTTGACCTAAAGATTAGGCTCAAGCTTCCAGATATTGAACACATTACCTCAAGACATGGTCCAGTCTTTTTCACAGAAGATTGTTTTAGCTGAATTGACTGTACCTTGGAAAGCTGGATGCAAGCTGTCATTTGAGAGAGTTACCAATGCATGATGCAAACTTGGAAATACCCGTTGGCATAGGATGAAGAGGCTTTCCTTCCCAAGCAGTCTGGAAGCTAATAACCGTAACTGGGCTGATAGGAAGGATGTCATTGTAGCAGGAAAACTGGGAGAGTCCTCATAGGGGGCATCCTGCTAGAGATGAGCTGTCATCTTAGTCATGCGCAGACCTTTTCCTGATTAAATAATTAATTTGATTTACAACTAAATATATATAAAAAAAAACAGAAAACATTAAGCATACAGTAACTCCCTGGTTTGTTTGATAAAAACACCTATAATAAATTTTTACAATGTATGACGTCCTACTTTCTGTATATCTTCCTCCAGCTGAACAATAACATGAGTAACTTTAATTTTTTTTACATGTCAGGCTTTGGAAAACCTTTCATTTTATTCCTTGAAATTAGATTGTATCAATAGTTTTTAAGGGCAAATTTAGCAAGAAATAACAAAAAAAAGCAAAGTTCGCACACACATTTACTCTGAAGTTCATTTCTGGATATGGAGTAAATGTATCATTATGAAACTTCACGATGGGAAAAGGCAGGAATAAGTGGAAAACAAAGTTCCTAAAAAGAAACCTTTTGGGATTTACAACAAGGACTTTATTGGTGTGAGGCAACAGCAACAGCTGTGAGGCAACAGCAACGGCCTATGTACCACTTTGCACTGTCAGCCGGAGGGTCCCAAGAGGGCATCAACTTATGGGGGTCAGGTTAACAGATGTGCAGCTGCACAGAGAGTGAGAAATATATTTATACATACATTAGACATTGCCTTAGACATTAGAACAGACTATAAGAAGTAATTGCTTCCCTCTCCAAGTACTTTTCAGCACAGTTGTACAAATTACAAGAGATTCAGATTAATTTAAAGCCTGAAATAAATACTAAAATTAATTTAATTAACCTCTTCTTTCAAAGAATAAAAAGAACACAGAATTTCTGGTTAACTCATTTTTACCCAGTGTTCTCTTTTGATAAATTCTGACTGATTATTGTTTTAAGCTGTTTGAATCAAATTGAGAAAAAAACATAAAGTATTAAAAACCTTGATATAAAGTGCTCTTTACTGAATAATTAATAAATATGAGTTGACTGATGTAATTAAGAAAATAGCATACGACAAATGTGTTGTTGGCCTACTAGTTATGACAGCTGAGAAACAACTTCCGTCAAATGCAGAACACAAAATTAACAAAGAACAATAAAAAAATGGAGATGCTGTGTCAGCAGGTAGCTTTTACTAGGAAGACCAAAAATTTAAATTCCAATCATGGAATCACAGAATTTTGGAAAGACTGTACTAACATCAATGACCAATGTTCTTCAGCCATTTTTCCCCAGACGAACAACAGTCCTCATTCTCCATAAGCAATTCAGCTGACATCACAAGAATCTCTGACTTCGCCATCACACCTTATGAGTTTCCCCTCTTACATGTCTTGCTTTCCTATTTTCAGAAGACTATGGTTATCACTGCAGCTGGTGCACAGTTACCTATCACATTTTTTCCCTCCACCTAATCTTCCATTGATATGCTTTGGTACAGCCCTGTGTAAACAAGCAGCTTCTGCTAAATAAACCTAAGTAAAAAAAGTTGCCTCCCTTACTAAATCATTTGTAAGCTGTACTTAAGCACATTTTATGGTTCATTTTAAAAAACCACACCCAGGCCTGGTTATTAACAGACCTGCCCGCATTGTAGTGGTGTTAGTGGGATTGTCCTGGGCTGCTTTACTTCTGTAGGACCTAATGTAATAGATGGGACCAACGTTTGCTCTGAAGGAGAGTAATATTTCATTAGTTTGTGAAGCCAACTTGAAGTCAGACTTGATCTAAAGCTATGGTGTCCTAAGCCTTTGCACTATAGATATTTTGTCACACTCTAAGCAGCACATTAAACATATATATTGTTTGTTTAAAAGCAGTTTTAGGTGTTTGCCTTGACAAAGAAAAGAGGATGAGTGGTCTAAACTTTGGATTGGAATGGTTTCTAATTTATTGGTCTAGGAAATCTTTTTAGACATTTTGTACAACAAGTATGATCTGAACCAGCAGTGTTTAGATGTTTCCCTCCTTCAAGCTTTTGCTTAACATAAATGATCATATTTTATACATATGGTCCAAGGTTTAACACATTAATTCAGAAATGCTACTGGTTGAAACAATTTAAGCTGCTGTCATCTTCACTGCATCTCCCCTCTATCAACAAACCAGTTTGGCCATTTTCCTTTGACCTCAATGGAGTATTTTCTTTCACAAAACAGAGGCTAAATTTAGCTGGTCTGCAGACAATAACAACTATACCACAATCAAAGTGCAATTTTTTCTTCTTCAAAATATCAAGTCCTGTTAATGCATTTAAATGCAAACTACACTGAATTGATACCATCTCATTGGTCCCTTGTAATAACGACAGACCAATTTGCCTTGTCAACCAAAAAAGTATATGTTTGACAACTTATAGCTAAGAACTAATGAAAGGGAATTTAGCTTGTGATTTGTAAAACATGCCATGCAAGTTATAATGCTAGTATAAGCATGGATTTAAAGTAAACAATGTAATTATTTCAGTCTATATCTGACTAGTTCATAGTCAGTCCCAGAGGCAGGTGTCCTTCAGGTTTTTGAGGTTTTAGCACAGGCCCAGCTGATTCTGATTATTGCTGTTCAACAAAAGCTTGTTAATCAGCTATCAATGGAAATCAGCTGAGCTAAAAAAGGGAAAAGTCTTAAACCTGCAGGACGGCGGCCCTTTAGGACTGACTATGGACATGCCTGGTTCTATATCGCTTTTAAAACAGAAGCTTGGGAATTGTCTGCTAAAAGAAGTTATTAAAAAAAAGGGATAAGTTAAACAGAACTGTGCTGCTATTCAATTTTTTTATGCTCAATGTAGCATGGAGGTTTTTAGACTGAAGGTTTCTGGCCAGATTTTTTTTTTCTTTTTTTTTGTTGTAAAATTGCCTTTTTTGTCATGGTGTTCACTAATGTGCATCAGCTTGTTTCTTGTGCTTCTTTGGAGTGCATCGACCCAAATGCACCCAAAGCATAATTATGTTGATCTTTTTCGAGTACTATGTTAGTTTACATCATGTGAAAAATGCACAAGAGGTAAACTCACTAAATGCACTCACTTCTGTTTTGTCAATCAAATGGAAAACAATGGAGGGCTAAAGAAAATTGCATCATTTTATATATATATATATATATATATATATATATATATATATATATATATATATATATATATATA